TGAAGGCACTCGTGTATGAATTGCTAGTATAGTGGAACGTCAAGTGTTCATTATAACTACTCGGTTTGAAATTGAGTATTATAATACAGTATCCATATTTATTAAATACTAATATTATTAGCATTGACCCACTTTCTTTAATTATAATATTGATTACAATTAAAAATAAAGTCATTGCCGATCAGTGAATTTTGTTGATAATCTTGCCATTTGACACTTTAAAAGAATCCCGCCAAAATTGATGGCAATTCTCTTTCCGTTTATACTCTCTTCAATGAAAATAACAATTCTTTTGTTATTGCTGTTAAAATAATGTGTATTACACATAATTGTAGAATAAGAAGTCTCTTCCAACTAAGCTTCCAATTAGCTTCACAAAACTCCATCGCAATTAAATGTTGCTTTATTTCCGTTGCAAATTTGATATGACTTTGCTTTATTACGCTTAACAACACTGTTTATATTCCTTTCGTTTGATAAAATGCAAGTGGGTGAGTGAGGGTGTGTGTGTGTGTACATGTGCATAAACAAACATTTGGCTGTCATCCACTTGTTATCTTTGGCTTATATTTCATCATGAAATTGCAATGGATTGTTATTGCAATGGGAATATTTTATTAAATAATGCAGAAATATACCGAAAAAGTTCATAGTGAAAGGGAAGAAGAGCCGGAAATTGTATGGGTTAAAAGAACCGCTGGCGTTGAAAACAAGGAAACGGAAGAAACCACAGAAAACAGCGAAAACAAACCAAAACTGCCCATTGTCTATAGTAAAAATTATGGAGTAAACTTTGCTAAATTGGAAAAATTACATCCATTCGATGCCCAAAAGGGAAAGAATATACAAGAGGTACGTTGATGAATATAACAAAAAGTATCAAGTTTATTTATTTCATTGATTTTTTCAGCTACTTGTAAAATATCAATTGGTCCAGGGTAAATTTTATGAGCCAACCGAAATAAGCAAAGATGAGCTGTTAAAGGTCCACAAGGAAAAATATTTACGTAGTCTAAAATGGAGTTTCAATGTGGCACAAATTGCCGAGATACCGGTCCTAGTGTTTGTGCCGAATTGTTTGGTTCAATGTGGCTATTTGCGGCCAATGCGTTTTCAAACCGCCGGCTCCATTATGGCTGGCAAATTGGCCTTGGAATATGGATGGGCCATTAATCTTGGTGGTGGTTTCCATCATTGCTGTTCCTATAAGGGTGGTGGTTTTTGTCCCTATGCCGATATAACACTTTTGATACAACGCATCTTTGCCGAAGAAAGTCAGGTGTCCAATGTTATGATTGTCGATTTGGATGCCCATCAAGGAAATGGTCACGAACGAGATTTCATGGATAATCCATTTGTTTATATTTTTGATATGTACAATTTTTGCATTTATCCCAAGGATCATGATGCAAAGCTGGCCATACGTTATGCAGTAGAGTTGAGACCGAAAACAGCTAATAAGGAATATTTGATAAAATTAAAAAGGTGAGTTAGGGGGGATTCCTAAAGCCATATGGTATTTGAAGGTCTTACATATAAGAGTCACAGATTTTCGGCTCTAATGTCGAAAACTTCATTAGAGACCCTAAGGTCTTCTACAGATGAAATTGTAAAATATATATAAATATATATAAAACCAATATATATATATAGGCAAACCTAAAGGTCTTCTGATTGTAATCGAATGCTTCGAGATCTGGCAATGTAAGGCCTTCTGCGGACAATATAAGACTCCAGGGTCGTTTATAAGAAAAATGATCTACTATGGACTATAGAAGAGTTCAAGGTGCTCAGTGGACATCAGAATACCTTAAGACATTCTATGGACTAGAGAGAACTAATTTTTTTCCACACGCAATAGGAGACTTAACGGTCTCTATAACTCATAGAAGCCCTTAGTACATTAATTCCCTTATCTTATCGTTTTTTTTTTTTTCTTTTCTTTAGAGGTTTAAAATTTGCAATGAGGGAATTTAAGCCCCATCTGGTGGTCTATAATGCTGGTACGGATATTCTGGAGGGTGATCCATTGGGTTGTTTGTCAATAACACCAGAGGTCGGTTAAATCGTGTATTTTAAATTACTTTATTAATACCCATGTGTCTCTTCTCATTACAGGGTATCATAGAACGTGATCAGTATGTTTTTGGCACGTTTCGTGCGCATGGCATTCCAATTGTAATGCTTTTAAGCGGTGGCTATTTGAAAGCATCGGCTAAAGTTATAGCCGATTCAATAATGAATTTAAAACAAAAAGGATTGCTATTGACAATTCGTTAATTAATTGCCATCGAATGGAATTTGTTGGGTGATATGGAAAAAATTGTTACCTTAGCATGTTTTATGAAAGCCATGGAGTAATTGTTAAGTCTGAGCTGGAATTGAAAAAAACAACACATAAAATTATTTTATATTCTATGAATCTCATTAGAGATGGCATGAAGTCTTCTATTGAAATATATTTAAAACTATCTCAATTTAATGCGGTTTTTATTGTAGGAAATTGTGGTCTTATTTTGGCCAGCAGTTGGTCAACGTTTCTCGACCCCAAAATTGCGTTATATTTAATAGGGTATAAGTGGAAATTAGGAAAATTAAGGATATTTTCAATTTGTCATTCCATTTGAAGCACCTGGAAATATTCCTCGAAACTCCAGGTAATCTTGATTTACCCAAACCCATTATAAAAGATAGAGCTGTGAAGCTTTGGAATATATAGTTCTACGTATAGGAAATTAGTTTAATTGGAGATTTACCGCAAGTCGTGGTTATGAGTGTGCATATCAAGCATTTATAACTTCTTAAATAAAAAACAAGTTAAAAAGCAGTAAGTTCGGCCGGGCCGAACTTTAAATACCCTCAACCAGTTGTAACGAATTTGGTAATTAAAAAAAATAAAATCCTTAACGAATTCTGTTAAAATTTCAAAAATACCGAATTTAGCCGTTATATTGAGGCCTATACGACGTGGACCTACATAGGCATTGTTTGTCATAAGTCATTACCATATTCAAATTCAAAACTTGAAATAAACGGCGAATAATGTAGCTAAAATCAACATAATATCGTATAAAGGGAGGTACCGTTATAACGTAGCTGTGCGAAGACCTAGACCAGACTAGACAATTTTCTGTCACAGGCTATAGCATCCATTACAAATACGACATCTCAAACAATTTCGGTGGGTATTGTACCTAAACTCGTGAAAATACCGAATATAGAGAGGTACTGATATATGGGGCCTATACGAAGACCTGGACCTGCATAGGCAATTTTCTGTCACAGACTGTAGTTCCCATTACGAACTCTAAATACGTAATTTGAAACAATTCTGGTGAATAATGACACTAAAATCATCAAAATACCAAATTTTGGGAGGTACCGTTATATGGGGGTTATACGAAGACGTGAACCTGCACAGACAATTTTCTGTCATAGGCTGTAGTATCCATTACGAATTTTAAATACCAAATTTGAAACAATTCCGGTGAATAATGTCGCTAAAATCATCAAAATACCGAACATCGGGAGGTACCGTTATATTGGGGCTATACGAAGACGTGGACCTGCACAGATAATTTTCTGTCATAGGCTGTAGTATCCATTTCGAACTTCAAATACCACAGTTGAAATAATTCCGGTGAACAATGTCGCTAAAATCATGAAAATACCGAATATAGAGAGGTACCGTTATATGGGGGCTATATGAAAACATGGACCTATATGGCCCATTTACGAACCTAACTTGGCCCATTTACGAACCTAACTTACTGGAAAAATAAACACGTGTGCAAAATTTTAGCCTTCTATCTCAATTCGTTCGAAAGATAGCGTAAATCGACTTAGAATTTTACGCTGATCATGAATATATATACTTTGTTGGGTCTGACATGAGTATTTCGAGGAGTTACAAACGGAATGACAAAGTTAATATACCCTCCATAGTGTGGTGGAGCGTATAATCAGATGAAAAATACATGGACAGACTGAAGGACATGAATAAATCGATTCGGAATGCGATTCTGTGAAGATCACCAAGAGCAACTATGAATATATCTCACTTCTTTCTGTGTCTTTCAGTGTATGCATGGTGTAGGGTATTAAAATGTCTTGGATTATTACGATCTTAGTACATTATTTTTAACTGAAGTGTTTTTGTTTTGACTTTTTATATTAGAATATTTGACGAAAATCTTATGCAACTCCCATCGAATTAAGTTGAAATTAACATTTCCTTTCATTTTATTATTACATTTTTAACTTTTCATTCATGTTTTTTAAAATTTCCTGATAAATTTTATTAAATTAGGTCTCCAAAGTTGCGAAATCGTACTCTACTTGTTTACGTTTTTTCGGTCCCCTTCATTTTTTATCGTTTACCAACACTGAAAAAGTTCCCTTCGAAAACAGCTGGAGCTTCCAAAATATTTGTTGTTATTTTGCATTTACTTGACAGTTAAACAAAAGATAAACAAAAAGACTCACTGTTATTTTTGTTGTCATTACTACTGGTGCTTGGCATACAAACGAGAGCGCGTCGTTTTCAGAGCGAGAGAGAAAATAAAAAAACAACGTCACGGTACAAGAGCCAACGTTTGGCCAACAGTCACATTCGGTCATATTTACAAGCAAAACATAAACAACCACCAGCTCCAGTGCAAATATTTTTCATGAATTTCAAAATTAAAAAAAGTTTTTTTTTTATTAAAATCTCTTCAAATTAAACGGAAGCTACCTCTAACACGTCTTTTCAATAAATTCTAAAAAAGTAAATAAAAACGTAATAAACTAATTGAGAACATAGGGTACCTATTGTGGTGCATTTAAAAACGAAGAGCAAACGGCAGACGACAAAAACAAAAACCATTATTAACTTGTGCCCAAATAGAGAATAGACCAACAAACAAACCAAAACATAGTGTCGTTAGCATTGTTTTTGATACCGCATACCACATACATACTGTAATAACCCGTATTTTGAAAATTGAAACTCGGCTCGGTTGGGTTTTACAAACAATTAATAAACTTAAACTTTATTGGAATTCTGCGCTTTTTTTAAGTAATAAGAATAAGAGATTACAATATCAAAACTGATTAAATTCAATCGGATTTACTAATGTTATCGATAACAGAATCAGTGTTGCCACATCCCTTCCACCTTTTTCAGTCTTAGCTTCAATGGTCCTTGGTCACGAGGGACATCAGTTCCGCTGGAGGTATGTGTTGACAGAGACGGCAATGATGGTTGATTTTTGGTGGTCGATGCACTGGAACACGTAGCAGGCTGGGCTGGTTCTGCAATGTCAGGAAGTGGTTCCGTGTTGATTGGAGATTGTTCAGAATGTGGATTTTGTTGATCCGGAAAATATTGAGGGAATTGAGCTTCCGGAATCTTTTTCACCATACTTATATTTCTTACAAAGGTTCGTCCACCTCCGACGACTTTTACCTCACTGCCATTTCTTTCAACCACTTCGTACACAGTTTTATCAAAATTTGGAGTGAGCTTATTGGGAAAAATTACGTTTTTCAACAATACTTTGTCCCCTACTTGGATGAAAGATTCCTTTGCATTTCTTACAGTGTCCGCCTTTTCTTTCCCTTTTTGTTTTGAGATCAAATCATTATCTTTAGCAGCCGAATCAATCACTTCCTCAGATAGATCCTCAATACCAGGTATTTTATCACGAATGCGCCTGTTAAACATTAATTCACTGGGGGCTGTGCCCGTAGTTCCATGTGGCGTAACATTATACATTAAAAGGAATTTTTGGATTTCCTCTTTATAATCGTGTTTGTTTGCAGCAGCTATTTTCAATCGTTTTACCAAGGACCTGTTCATATTTTCCACTTCACCATTTGCCTGTGGCCAATAAGGAGGAGTTCTGATAAGAGATATGTTATTTTCTGAACAGAAGGATTTGAATTCGTCGCTGACATATTGTCTCCCGTTGTCGGTTCTAATGGATTTCGGTATTCCAAGTTTTGAGAATATTTCCTTCATTGATTTAATTATAGCGTCTGAGGTTATACGCTTTAAGAATACGACTTCCTGATACCGAGAGTAGTAATCAATTAAAACTAGAACATGTTCGCCATTAGGCAGCGGCCCGAGAAGATCCGTGGCCAAACATTGCCAGGGGCCATTTGGAAATGGATGTCTCTGCATTGGTGTTGGATTATTAGGTTGTGAAACAAGAAGACAATCATGACAAGCTTTCACAAAGTTTTCTGCTTCCCTGTCTATTAGCGGCCACCAGACTTTCGAGCGGAGACGACGTTTCATTGCGGACTGACCCGGGTGGCCTTCATGAGCCAGATCTAACACTCTTGGTCGTAACGCTTTTGGTATTACTATGCGACTTCCCCGTAACAAGATTGGGCCAATAGCTGACAATTCAAAACGGAAGACATAATAGGGATTTGATGATTTAGACTCCCACGTTTCATTCCCCATACTCGAAATAGCCTCTTGGATGTCGATGTCTTTGGCGCTTTCTTTGCTTATTGTGGAAATATTAAGAGCGGATGGAATTGTGTTCTCTAATACGTGGAAAATTGAATCTTCGCAAGCTGCATCGAAGGAGTGGTCTTCTGAAAGTTTACACAATCGGGATATGGAGTCTGCAATATTTTCTTTTCCTGCACGATATATGACTTTGAACTTAAAAGCCTGTAGACGAAGTAGCCATCTCTCAATTCTAGCAGGAGGTTTCGAAGTCGGCTTGAAAATACTTTCCAAAGGTTTGTGGTCGGTTACAAGTTCAAACTCCAATCCAGCTAGGTAGTAATAGAACCTTTCTACAGACCAAACTAAAGCCAAACTCTCTTTTTCGGTTTGAGAATATCTCTTCTCAGTGGAAGATAAGCTTTTACTAGCAAAAGAGATAATTCGTGGTTCGTCCTCATCATCAAACTGCAACAGTACAGCTCCTAAAGCCACCGGGCTTGCATCTGCTATTACCCGCGTTCTTAATTTTGGGTCAAAGTATGAAAGATTTGGTATTTCGGATAACATCTTTTTCAATTTGCAAAAAGCTTCTTCTTGTCTATGGCTCCAGGCGAATTTTGCATTCTTTGTAAGAAGTATCCTTAATGGATCAGTTATGTCTGCTAAATCTGGTAAGAATTTTCCAATGTATGTTACCAAGCCCAAGAAACTGCGTACTTCCTCTTTCGACTCTGGGGCTCGAAAGTCTTGAATAACTTTAACTTTCTCGGGATCCGCAGTGAATCCCTCTGCTGAAAGTACGTGTCCCAGGAACATTAACTTTTTAGTCTTCCATACACATTTTTCCTGGTTCAAGGTAACATTATTTTTCTTTAAAATTTCAAGGACAGACTTCAAAGTTGTATCATGATCTTCGTCGCAGTTACCAAACACGATAATGTCATCAATATAATTTAGAGCATTTGGGCATGTCGAAAGCATCCCTTCCATAATTTTTTGGAAAATTTCAGGAGCTGAGTTTACCCCAAACATCAATCGTTTGTATCTGTACAAACCTTTATGCGTTACAAAGGTTGTGATTTCACGACTTGATTCATCCAACTCTACTTGATGGTATGCGGATGTTAAATCCAATCTCGAGAAGATTTTAGCGGATTTTAGTCTACTCATAAATGATTCGAATGTAGGCAATGGGTAATTTTCACGAAGAATCGCCCGATTGGCGCATCTCATGTCGACACAAAGTCGAATGTCATCATTTCCTTTAAATGCTATTACTATCGGGGAAATCCATTTACTGGGACCAATGACTGGTTCTATAATATCAAGTCGTAGAGCCTCGTCAATTTTATTGGCAACTTTTTCCTCCAGCGCCACCGGAACACGACGTACTGGCTGCTGAACAGGCTTTACTGTATGGTCTATAGATAACGACACTTTAATACCGTGTATCTTTGGAAAAGGTTGTTTCTTCTCCTCAATGTGATTAACATCTAATCCTAGCTTCAGAACTTTTAATTGTAGAGAAGCTTCTCTCCCCAAGAGAGATTGGTTTCCGTTTTTGATTACATAGAAAGAAGATATTATTTCATTTCTATTACCCACACATATAGGAGCATCAAACACCACAATAACTTCCAATGGATGGTTGGCAGCATATGCTTTGAATTTGTTTGTAGAGTGAGTTTGTATATTCCAAATTGCGGCATCTGAACGTTTCAAAATGTTCCAATCATTCTCGCTGATGAGATTGAATTTACAACCAGAGTCTATGACCATCATAATGTTCTTCCCACCAATTGTGCAGCAAATGTTCTCTTCGTTGTGGTCATTACCCACAACTTTAAAACATCCAAATTCGCGATTCTCGGAAACCGTGCCGTCTTCTTCTATACATCTTACATTTGAACTAGTACGGCTCCTTTTGTAAGGCTCGTTGTAGTTGTTATCAAATCTTCGTTTCTTTGTTTTGCATTTTATAGCAAAATGACCCAACAACGAGCATTTATTACATTTAGCCTTCTTAGCTGGGCACTCAAGAGAATTTGATTGATGTCCTTTTCTTCCACACCGGCCGCACTCAATTGATGTATTTAATTGTATATTCCCTTTTGTGTTGATCTTGTTTACTGCATCCACTTCAACATTGCACAGCAAGCTACGACAGTTTTTGTTTATTTGCTCGTACACTTGGCAAGATTCTATTACTTCCGAGAGATTGTGTTCTTTCTCCAGCAACCTTTTTTTTAAGTCTATTGGGGCCCATGAATCGATTAACTTATCCTTTATGGAAATCTCTTCAATTTCTTTTTTGGTGCTCCCAAACGAACATTTTACCACCTGTTGTCGCAACCGCATCAAAAACTTGTTAAAATTTTCTCCCTCTATTGGTGTTAGGTTGCGGAACAAATGACGCTCAAACGTCGAATTGCGTTTCGGGGAGAAATATTCATTTAGCTTCTCAACCAACACGTCGTATGTTTTGATCTCTCCTTTTTCATCTCTTTCCACTAAAGCTCCAGGAATATTAAAAACTACTTCTTGTAACTGAGGTCCCCCCAAGTGCAGAAGCTTATTTCTCTTTTTGCCATCATCAGTAATATCTTCTGCAGCAAGGTACAGAGTGAATGATCTTAACCATTTTTCCCACTCGTTGCGTAGCAGCGACTTGTCTATTGAATCACACAGGAATGGTTTCAAAACCTCTGACATTTCATCTACAATAAAACTGAAACAACAATCAAAAAAAAAAAATTTTATTTGCAACATATGTCTACATCATATTATGTCAGTCCACACCTTCCCATTATGCCGAATTAAATCGGTATCAATCATATATTATGCATTAGTTTTTATGAATTACCTTGTTGGCACCTTAACAAATAATCGGCAATTTAATGCTCATTCACGTCTAGTGAATGTCAGTCGCAATTTAATGCAATTTATTTTCTGCCAATATCGCAACTAATGCCCATTCACTAATTCAACAACTTTTAGTGAAAAACTGTAGCAATTCAATGCCAACTTTGTTTTCTTGCTCCTTTTTGCAATTTATTTCTTCACTCTTGCAATTTAATGCACTTTATGACGTATTTTCAAAATGTATTCTTTTTTCCTTTCTAATGTTTGTAAAATACTTATTCACAATATCATCCCATCTTCGTCGCCAATGTAATAACCCGTATTTTGAAAATTGAAACTCGGCTCGGTTGGGTTTTACAAACAATTAATAAACTTAAACTTTATTGGAATTCTGCGCTTTTTTTAAGTAATAAGAATAAGAGATTACAATATCAAAACTGATTAAATTCAATCGGATTTACTAATGTTATCGATAACAGAATCAGTGTTGCCACACATACCTTCGTACATTCGAATACGTGTATATCTTGACCGCACCAATGTCAATTTCAAGGAGAATCTCTAAGAAAATTTTCAGGAAATCATTTGTAAACATTTGAAGGTAAGTGTGTGTGGTGCTCCCATTTGGCATTTTCGGTTTTTTGCTTCAATATCCCATTGGAATGTATTTTTGTTAATGTGATTAAAAATTTGTAATCTATAGTATCGATAGAGTTCCAGTTAATCTAGTTAAATTGTGTTCGCCTTAAAGCAGTAAAACGAATAATTCAATTTGTTTTGAATGAGTTAGCCATATGTCAGTGTACTTTGAAATGGTGAGTGTGTGTGTGTGCGTGTAAACGTGTGTTTGTGCATAACCGGTGGCAAATGATTGAGTGATAGACGCGAATGCAATTTATTAATAGTAATAAGAATATATTTACGATATTTAAAAACGATTCTGAATATACAGTTTGTCAAGTGAAGATTTTCAAAGTGAAACTTTTTTGTAGTGTTTACGGATATAATGAAGAATTACTTTTCCTAATGAAAAAGGTATGGGGAAAGGTACCCATATGAGACAAATAGGCTCTTTGGTAACGAATGTGTGAAAATGTATTATAAATGTTCTCTAAAGAAATTTATTGATTCTACACATATAAAAACATTGTAGACCCTTATTATTTGTCTCATATGGGTACCTTTCCCCATACCTTTTTCATTGGGAAAAGTAATTCTTCATTATATCCGTAAACACTACAATATTATTGAAAACAGGAACACATTGGAGCGTGCAATTAGTGAGGCAACGTATGAGTAACATAATATTTATGATGACATGACATATGTTGCTCATACGCGACAAAATCCAAAAAGGATCCTAATGATATGAGATATTCATGCTGGTCACATTTCTTTTTCTCTTTTCCATTTGTTTGCTTTTCACAGTTTTCTTGCAAAAGATGATAATACTGCCTAACTCCCTCAGAAAGAAGTTGGTGGACAATTTCTGCAGGAAAAGTAACCAGACATACCAAGTAACTCCAAAATGTAGTAAATGAGATCCAACTGAGAGAGAGAGAGGGAGAATGTTGATAGTTCAGTTACTGAGAGTCTGTAAACTCTTACTGGATAAATTTGCTTAATATATTTGGTATTTTGATAATTTTAGCTGCTTTATTCACCGGATTTTTTTCAAGTTTCGTATTTGAATATCGTAATGGGATTATGACAAAAGTTGCCTATGCAGGTCCACGTCATCGTATAGACCCCAATACGGGGCGAGATAAAAAAACTGCAACCAATTCAGACTACTGTCATTTCTAAGCCACTAGTCGGACAGCTGTTAAAATTTTCCAGTGACAGCTCATTATATTGTTTACAAGCGTACAATAGCATTTTGGTGAGAATTTTCCAGAAAAATAGTTATTCGTGATGGAATTCCAGCGTGATTTCTTTATATTTGGCTGGAAAACCACAAGTTAGAGCACTCTTGTACCATCGCTCGTTACCGTGATACTGGTAGCGTAGCCCGACGTCAAGGAAGTGGACGGAAGAAAACAGCAACATCAGCATAAATGGTTCGAAAAGTAAAGAAGCGACTTGATCGAAACCCGCGTCGCAGTGATCGAAAAATGGCTTGTGAGCTAAACTTGTCGGGGTAAAGCCATTGAAATTCCAAAAAGTGCAAGAACTTACACCGCCACAGAGAGAAATAGATAGAGGTCGAAAGTGGTGAACTGCCGAATTTGGTTTTCTCTGATGAGAAAACATTCGTTGTCCAGCAGTTTGTAAACAAACAAAATTGTTATGTTTACTTGCCAAAGAGGTCAGCTGAAAATATGCACCTTCGGTTGGCCATCAGAACTCAAGCGCCGGCCAGGGTGATGTGTTGGCCGCCATAACAGCAGATTGTCGCTCTCCGCTCGTAGTAATCGACCGTGACATCAGAATAAATGCCGAATATTATCGCGAAAATATTATGGAGGGTGTATTAAAGCCTTGGGTAGGCTAAAATTTTGGCCGCAGTCCATGGGCATTCCAACAGGACACAGCACCATCGCACTCAGCACGCGCTACCCAAGAATGGTTACAAAATGAGGTTCCTCGCTTCATTTCATGGCCACCAAAATCTCCGGATACCAATCCGTTGGACTCTTGTGTCTGGAGTATTTTGGAAAGCAAGGTTGACACTAAAAAATACCAATGTGTCGATCGCATCAAGCAAGTGCTTCGCCGGGAATGGGCCAAAATACCGTAGGCAGCGTAGGCATTCGGGCAGCGTGTGACGGTTTTGTTGGCCGTTCGAAGACCATAATTCGTGACCAATTCGAACAAATCTAAACTAATTCTAAAATTTAATGCTATTTCCGTCATTTTTTTCTTTCATTCAATAAAATTTAATAAAAAATGTAAAAAATATGACGTTTGAATTTGTTGCAGTTTTTTTTATCTCACCCTGTATATTCTTGATATGCATAAAATTCTATGTCGATTTAGCGATGTTCGTCCATCTGTCCATCTATCCGTCTGTGGAAATCAGTCAACCTTCGAACGCTTCCAAATGAAGTAGGTTGATAAAATTTTACTCAAATGAAGGTAGGTCCACTTTTTGGTATAGCCAACCTCCTTATTTTCGGTATTTTTTCAAATTTGGTATTTGAAGTTCGTATTGCGTACTACAGCCTAAGACAGACAATTTTTTTTTGCAGGTCCACGTCTTCAAATATCGGTACCTCCCCATATTCTGAATTTTGATAATATTAGCGACATTATTCACCGGAATTGTTTCAAATTTGGTATGCAAAGTTCGTAATTGATACTACAGCCTGTGACAGAAAATTGTCTGTGCAGGTCCACATCTTCGTGTAGCCCCATATAACTGTACCTCCCGATATCCGGTATTTTGATTATTTTAACGACATTATTCACCGGAATTGTTTCAAATTTGGTATTTGAAGTTCGTAATTCGGTATTTCGATGATTTTAGCTACATTGTTCACCGTATTTTTTTCAAGTTTTGCCTTTGGCTTATGACAAAAGTTGCCTATGCAGGTCCACGACGTGGTATAGACCCTAATATAACGGCTACATTCATTTTATTTTTTTAATTTTTTATTTTTAAGATTTTAATAGAATTTTTTAAGGATGTAATTTTTTTTTAAATTGCTAAATTCGTTCCAAATGTTGGAGGGTATTCAAAGTTTGGTCCGGTCGAGCTTACAGCTTTTTTACTTGCTTAATCTATTAAATTTCTCTTGTAATTATTTTTTTGGTGTTGCACAGTGTAACTTGCAAAATGTTCTAACAACGATGCGAATGGTACTCGTGTATACGACCATAGCCTGTTATAAGAAATGTATGCAATAACAAATACATAGACAAATTACCAATGTATCAATGAAAAGAAGGCAATGCAAAGATTTCGAAACTGATTATTAATAAATAAATCAATTTGATTTTGGACATATAACATGTTTTTTTTTAATTAGAAATTAAATAATGTTGTTTTAAATGCGGCTGTCACATATTCATCAGCATTTACGTTCTACACGAGACATTATTTAAGATGTGACCAAAAATTATTTTCATTTTATTTTCAGTGAAACGCAGTACACGCTGATGGTTCAACGGAAATAGTACCGCGTTGGAAAACGTTTTTCCAATTTTCAAAAAAAAAACCTAACCACAAATCAAATAATCCAACCCACCCACCAAAAAAAACCTTTGGATTTAAAGTTAAATACTGGTAAGTAAAACAAATAATTATTTAATTATTTGTTATCTTTTTTTGAATAAATTAATTATTGGATATTAATTCTCATTTAGTTTGTTCTATGTGTGTGTATGTGTTTTTACGTGTCGACGTAAGACTATATAAATGTGTAAACATGTTTTAATTCATGTGTAAATATCGTTCCGGAAGATAATAAATTCTAACAATTAACAATAAAAAAGTAAATTATAACAATTGCAAACATGATTCTGGTTGGCAGAGTATTTATAATAGCCTACATCAATACATAAATAAATTTTTAACAGATAAGTGACTAATTTCTATGTAGAATTGTAAATTTTGTGGATTATTATCGTGAGACGATATTGGATTTTGAGAAAATCGTACTAAAAAACAATGTAGATGCAAATTAAGACTTTTCGATCTAAAATCTCGAAATAATGCATTGTTTTTGGAAATTCGTACCAAATTGTACTGTAAAATATTAACTTGCAATAAGGATCTCTTCTGGTGTGAAGGAGTTCAAAACAAATTTGTACCAAAATACTAAAGGTGCTTACAAAATACCAAATATTTCACTATATGTGGTAATGCTCTGATGTAATTAAACAACCCAATCATGAGCAACAATTTCCGGAGTAATATATTTCTTTCCCATTTTTTTGCCTCAATACCATTTTTTTCGTCATTTCGTTTGTAACTCATTGAAATAATAATTTTAGACCCAACAAAGTATATATATTCTTGATCGGCGTAAAATTCTGTCCGTCTGTTGTAACCACGCTACAGTGAAAATGAATTAAGATGGGAAGCCTAAATTTACGTATGACATATATGGTGGCTTTTAATAATTTTCCCAATTTATTTCAATAATGTTTGGCATTTTATAAAATCTACGACATCACGACATGAAAAACCGGGAAAAAGGACAATATCGTGACTGAAAGTCATTTACTTTTTTTTTTTACAAAAACTCCATTTATTGCCAGGAAGTTTTTGAAAAATTATTCGTCAAAAATTCTATGACATTTTACCAGCAAGTCCTCCATTTCTTTTGACCAAAAAATTACAATTTTACAAAATCTACAATCCCTTGGCATAACGTCCTTGAAAAAAATTGAAAATATGACTGTTTTTTGTGTAAATTCAATATTCTCGGTAATAAGCTCTTTGAAAATGTTGCCTTAAAAATACAAGATTTTCGGTAAGGAAGTCCTTAAAAGCAGCCCTAATTTTTTTCCTTTTTAAAAATTCAAGATATTTGGTCGGAGGCCCTAGAAAAAAATCCTAAAACTCCACGGTTCTTGAAAATATTTTCTAAAATGTCCCCGAGTTGACGTCAGGATGTCATTCAAAATTGTTTTCAAAAAATCCAACGTCTTAGGTTAGGAAGTCATCGAATTTTTGTTTTATCCCTTGAAATTCAAGATATTTGGTCGAAAGGAAAACTTTTTATAAACATTTAAGATTTTCGGTTTGGAGGTCCTAAAAAAAATTCTAAAATTCCACGGTTTTTGAAAATATTTTCTAAAATGCCCATGAGTTTCGGTCAGGATGTCCTTTAAAAATTGTTTTCAAAAAATCCAACGTCTTAGGTTAGGAAGTCATTGATTTTTTTGTAAATCCCTTGAAATGTTTTCTTAAAAAAATCACAAATTTTCCCCTTGCGGACCTCCTTGACCAAATTGTCCATAAAAAAATTCACATTATTGTAGATATTCAACCATTATTCTAGGCCTGAAAACTTTAAAAAATCAATTATTTTTTATCTCAAAGTCCTTGAAAATATCCACTATTTTTTTAAGACATTTGGTCTGTCCAGAACTGCAAGAATGTACAACTTTTTACTGCGATAACTAATTTTCCCTTTATGATATCGAAAAAAAAAATTGCAAAAATAGCAGATTCTTGCAGGTTTTGGAACAGAGTAACTTTAAAAATATTTGAAAAATTGATTTTTTTATTTTTACAAATTCAAAATATTTGGTCGGAAGGCCTCTGAAAACTTTATTATAAAAATTGAAGATTTTCAGTCTAGAAAAAATACTAAAATTCCACGGTTCTTGAAAATATTTTCTAAAATGTTTACGAGTTTCGGTCAGGATGTCCTTTAAAATTGTTTTCAAGAAATACAATGTCTTAGGCAAGGAAGTCTTCGAAATTTTTTCTTAAATCCCTTGAAGTGTTTTCTAAAAAAATCACAAATTTTCGGCCATGACGGAACTCCTTGACCAAATTTTTCATAAAAAATTCACATTATTGTGGATATTCTACCATTATTCTAGGCCTGAAAACTTTAAAAAATCTATTTTTTTTAAAGACATTTGGTCTGTTCCAGAACTGCAAGAATGTACAACTTTTTACTGCGATAACTAATTTTCCCCTTTATGATATCGAAAAAAAAAATGGAAAAATAGTAGATTATTGCAGATTTTGGAACAGAGTAACTTTAAAAATATTTGAAAATTGATTTTTTTTTTATTTTTAAAAATTCAAGATATTTGGTCTGAAAGCCTCTGAAATCTTTATTTCAAATATTGAGGGTACTAAAAAAATACTAAAATTCCACGGTTCTTGAAAATATTTTCTAAACTGATTACGAGTTTCGGTCAGGATGTCCTTTAAAAATTGTTTTCAAAAAATTTAACGTCTTGGGTTAGAAAATCATCGAAATTTTTTCTTAAATCCCTGGAAATGTTTACTGAAAAATCACAAATTTTCGGCCTTGACGGAACTCCTTACCAAATTATTCATAAAAAAAATGCACATTATTGTGGAAATTCGACCATTATACTAGGCCTGAAAACCTTAAAAAAATCAATTATTTTTATCTCAAAGTCCTTGAAAATATCCATTATTTTTTTAAAGACATTTGGTCTGTTCCAGAACTGCAAGAATGTACAACTTTTTACTGCGATAAGTAATTTTCCCCTTTATGAAATCGAAAAAAATGGAAAAATAGTAGATTCTTGCAGGTTTTGGAACAGAGTAACTTTTAAAAATATTTGAAAGTAGATTTTTTTTTTTATTTTTTAAAATTCAAGATATTTTGAAGGTCTCTGAAAACGTTGCTTCAAACATTAAAGATTTTCGGTCTGGAGGTACTAGAAAAAATACTAAAATGCCACGGTTCTTGAAAATTTGTTAAAAGCCCACGAGTTTCGGTCAGGATGTCCTTTAAAAATTGTTTTCAAAAAATCCAACGTCTTAGGTTAGAAAGTCATCGAAATTTTTTTTAAATCCCATGAAATACTTTCTTAAAAAATCGCAAACTTTCGGGCTTGACGGACCTCATTGACCAAATTATTCATAAAAAATACACATTATTGTGGATATTCAACCATTATTTTTTATCTCAAAGTCCTTGAAAAAATCCATTATTTTTTTAAAGACATTTGGTCTGTTCCAGAACTGCAAGAATGTACAACTTTTTACTGCGATAACTAATCATAAAGGGAAAGATAACAAAAAAATTGCAAAATTAGTAGATTCTTGCTAGTTTTGGAACAGAGTAACTTTAAAAGTATTTGAAAATTGATTTTTGTTTTCATTTTTAAATACTCAAGATATTTGGTCGGAAGGCCTCTGAAAACTTTGTTTCAAACATTGAAGACTTTCGGTCAGGAGGTCCTAAAAAATAACACAATTTCACGGTTCTTAAAATATTTTCTAAAATGTCCCCGAGTTGCGGTCAGGATGTCATTTAAAATTGTTTTCAAAAATTCAACGTCTTAGGTTAGAAAATTATCGAATTTTTTTCTTAAATCCCTTGAAATGTTTTCTTAAAAATTACAAATTTTCGGCCTTGACGGACCTCTTTGACCAAATTGTCCATAAAAAAATCACATTATTATGGATATTCGACCATTATTCTAGGCCTGAAAACCTTAAAAAATCAATTATTTTTTATCTCAAAGTAATTGAAAATATCCATTATTTTTTTAAAAACTATTGGTCTGTTCCAGAACTGCAAGAATGTACAACTTTTTACTGCGATAACCAATTTTTCCTTTATGATATCGAAAAAATTTTCAAAAATAGTAGATTCTTGCAGGTTTTGAAACAGAGTAACTTTAAAAATATTTGAAAATTGATTTTTTTTCATTTTTAAAAATTCAAGATATTTAGTCGGAATGCCTCTGAAAACTTTGTTATAAACATTGAGGATTTTCGGTCTGGAGGTACTAGAAAAAATACTAAAATTCCACGGTTCTTGAAAATATATATTTTTTTTAATGTCCACGAGTTTCGGTCAGGATGTCATTTAAAATGGTTTTCAAAAAATCCAACGTCTTATGCAAGGAAGTCATCGACATTTTTACTTAAATCCCATGAAATACTTTCTTAAAAAATGACAAATTTTCGGGCTTGACAGATCTCCTTGACCAAATTTTCCATAATAAAAATTCAAATTATAGTGGATATTCGACCATTATTCTAGGCCTGAAAACCTTAAAAATCAATTATTTTTTATCTCAAAGTCCTTGAAATCCGTCATTTCTTTTAAATATGATTTTTTAAATATTTGAAAACTTTGTCTTAAAAAATCCTTATAATATTTTTAAAAACCAACAGTTCTTGAAAATATATAATGAGGTCCTTGAAAATTGTTTTTAAATTACTATGAATATTCGACTATTATTCTAGATTTGAAAGCCTTAAAAATTCTTAGTTGATACTACAGCCTATGAGAGAAAATTGTTTGTGCAGGTCTACGTCTTCGTATAGCCCCCCCATAACGGTACCCCCGATATTATATGATTTTAGCGACATTATTTGCCGGAAATTTTGTATTTGAAGTTCTATCAGAGAAAATTGTCTGTGCAGGTCCACGTTTCATAACCCCCATGGTAACTCCCCATGTTCGGTATTTTAATGATTTTAGCTACATTATAAACAGATTTTTTCAAGTTGTCATATAGACCCTAATATACGGCTACATTCGGTATTTTTAAGATTTTAACGGAATTTTTAGCGGATTTTATTTTTTTGAAAATTGCCAAATTTGTACC